AGATTTTAAGTCTTCATATTGGTCACATAATGCCCTTGGGAAGAATTAGGTCCCAAAGCTCTCCATAAATTGGTGAGAAATATTTAGGCAATTAAAAGTGTTTAGTGACTTTCTTTTGAAAAGCATTCTTCAAGGCTCACAGTGAACAGCATAACATTCATCATACACACATTTACACAAAAGAATCCTACAGCTTAACTACAGAACCCATAATTGAAGCCAATCATCTTTTCTTTAATTCTTTGATCCTGCAACTTCAAACACAGAACTTCACTCGTGCCCTTCAAGGCATAAGGCTGAATCCTTAATGCTCACACATTAAGTAGGGCACTCACTGAAGTGCTGAGCTGCTTTTAAAAGATTTCTCCAAAGTTTGTAATCATGAACCAACAGCACAGTTTTTCCTTGCTACTTAAAGGAATTACAATTTAAAAAGCATTCTTTTGCATGAATAACTGTTTGGGTATTTGATAATAATGTGCTTCAGTAAGACTCTTTTGCTCACCAATTGCACTGATTAGAATTTTCTAGTTAAAGAGACAGTTACAAAGTTGTTACTCTATTCTGCAGCAGTAACCTTCAAAGAGGTAGAACTAGAGAGGACAGCAGCACAAGATTAAACTTTCAATATTCCTTTGCATAAGATGAAAAGAAATATCCCAGAACTCCTGTAATAACCTTTTGAGAACTAAAGCAAACCTTTTAAAATAAGAATAACCATACAAACTTAAATGACACTAACTTATTTCTATTGCAACTGGCAATTCTGATACTTAGAGTTTCCTTACCCTTCCATGGAACCAGTCTTCACAGACTATGCACTGGATCATCTCATCTGGAATCTAGATGAACGGTCATATTATTAGCATTAACAGCAACTTCTAGAGTCTTTCACAAGCCCCAAATGAGAGTATTATGCAAAGCCTGCTCAAGTGAATTGCACTTCCCTCTTCACCTATCCACGGGGAGCTGCCATTAATAAGTAGTTAACTGCTTCATTAGTCAGTTTGCTTCCCTGAACTCCAACAGCATATGTAATTTGTTGTTTATCAAGACTGTGGAAATTCCCATTTATTATTACAAAACTTGTTTTCCTTTTAGAACACAACATTCTCACAAAAGAGCTGATAAAAGTTAATACACTGTTGGCATCTTTCTTCCAGTAAAGAGAAATGCGTTAACAGGCAGGTTAGCAAAAGAAAGATACTGATACCCATCATGTTATCAGGTTTACAGAGGAACACCTGAGTCCTAACTTAACTAGCCACAACATAGTACAACACAAACTGCTCGGTCAGGAAACAATTATTAATGATTTCTTTAGAAATGTTTAGTTATCATCTCTGAACTTCAGAGAGGTGAGTTTGTAAAATACTTTTTGTATTTACAGGACTTGCTCCTTCCTTATTCTTTAAAACACCTGATTTCTATGACTGCAAACAAAAGTGTGCGTGTGCAAACCAAGTGGTATATTTTAATACTTCAGATGGACAAAAACTATTGTGACTACCATAAAGGAAAGCTAAAGCCAGTGCTACAGGACAGACTCTCCCTATCCCAGCAGCCTTGTCAGAGCACTGTTGCAGACACAAGGAAGCAGATTATGGTTTCTCCTAACATGTGTAATGTGTTTACTGGTCTCCTGCCACATTTCTTAAGATGGTGAGAACCCTCCCCCTAAGGGAACTCCATACAGAGGAGTCTCTACTTTATAGAGAGGAAAGCAGAGAGAACTGCAGCATTTTCTCCCAATGATGGTTTGTCCTCCTCATCTGTCCTTAAGGCATAAACATATTTTACCATTAAAAAAACCCCTCATAATTACTGTATATATGACAACCAAGAGTAATACGGAACATAAGATTTCTTGAAATGGGTTCTTTGCTGTAAAGCAGCTCAGAGACGACCCTTTGAACAATACTTTGCATAAATACCATCTATATATGATTACTATCGGCTTTTGTATTTCTTACCTCATCTTCAGGATCAGGATAAGGTCTTTTACATGTACAGTATAATCCATAGAAATTGTCATTATACTTATTTCCTGCATTCACCTTGCCCTTTTCCTAGAAGGAAAAAAAAAAATCTCAGTAAACAATGCAGTGAAAAACAAGACTGAAAATATACATAATCTAGAAATAAAACCCCAAACAAACATTCCTGTTGCACTTTAATTCCTAAAAGCAATAATTATACTCATCACCTTGAAGATCCAAAAAGAAAGGTACTATCCAGACACCCTATGCTATACAGTGAGCAGCAGACAGGGCACGCAGGGAATACTGAAGTTCAAAAGGAAAACCAGTCTCTTCACCTTTGTAATAAATGGCAACTATGGTGTTTGTTAAACTACTGCTACTCCAGAACGATGTAAGAGTTCTGATCACCAGCTATGCCTACCTGCTGCATTATAGCAACAACTGTAGATTTATTGTTCACCTTCCCCTCCATTTTTTTTTAACATCCAGATTGTGATCCAAACCTGACTCTGCTTAATCTTACCACTGAGCTTCCACTAAATTTGTGTCATACAAACCTCATTCTACAGGAGAGAATTATCTAAATTACAAAACATGCTGAATGAAACTCAATTACAGGTAATTCCACTAAAAAAAAACAAACAAATGAACAACCAACCCCCCCAGCTAATACAGCTGCAGCCAGAGGGCTTCAGAACCACATGCAGTTGCAGCCTGAAGCCACCACTAGCCCCTCCAGAAAGAGCTGTGACCATTTATGATGCCACTACAAACCACCTTCTACCACTATTGTGACAAAGACAGGACAGGGGATATGAGCACTTGGCACCCGTGAAGTCAGACAGGTAAATAGGTGGATGCTGAAGGTCACTTAACAATTGATTTTGCACTGAACTGAAGGAGGAGGACCAACCACATGATCCATTTCACTGACTTGAATTAGAAACAGTAACATCTTAAAATCGTCACAGGTGTCTCTGTAGGGATCACTGGACTATAGTCCTGAGCTGACTAGCTCTGGATCCATCCCAGTTCTGCCAGAACAAAACGGGCATACACAAAACCACTGGCCTGTTTGGACTGTTACTATCCAGGGAGCAAGACAAGTTGTTGCTGTTTTTCAGAGTATTATCAACTACTTGACAAGTCCAAAATGCTCAATGAAATGAAAGCACAGAAGGATTAATGCAGTAAAAAACTATCCCATCAGTGGGCTCTGGTGACAACCAACCAAAAAAGATTACAGCATTAATGCCACCATGAATAAGGGGAGTGAACCGTACCTTTGGCAACAGAAGAAGCTTGAATTTCTTTAATGCAACAGCAGAATTACACCTAAAAGCTTCCCCTGAAGCCAGCTTAAAGCCAATGAGATGTATTAGTGCAGGCACCACAACACGTTTCTGGTATTACGCTAACCATAGAGGCAAAACTGCTGCATTCATGGATGACAATTATCAAATGTTTTCTTTTCTCTCTCCTCACATTTCCCTTTGGTCTCTCAACAGGTTTATCTTATGCTGTAATACTCCCACCTTGTTTAACTTGCTGGGAAAAACAGAGGCACTGTGTGCGTCAGTAGTGGCTGAGGCAAGTCACCAGCGTCCCAATACCGTCATTTCAATTCTGCATGTACAAAACCCCTATCTGCACTTACTGGCAGTAACTTGCACTGCAGATTTTTGAACTTGCTGTTTCCACAGTCACAGCGGAAGTTCCTGGAAAGAAAAGCACAGTGTTTCAGGTGGGTTTATTAACAGAAAACACATCAGGTTTTGCGTTCATAAAGATTCCCAGAAGTTTATTAGAAGACATAAAAACATTCTTGCCGTGCTTAAACAACAGCATCAGTCGGAAGTGCCCCTACCCTCTCACAAGGTGTTCTCAACAGATCTCTCAGCTAAGACCATCACTGACAGCAGCACTAGGCTGGGCGGCCACAACGGTACAGAGCTAACCCTGGGTGCTGCAACTGCCCCACTTAAAATCACAGTCACGAGTGCTGGTGGAATAGGAGCCTGAACTGCTTCATTTCCAAAAACTGGATCCATGACGGTGATTAAGCTCTTGTCTCCTACCCAGACACCCTAAGCTCTCACTTAAACAGGGCTGGTGTGCCAAGAGAAGGAGAAGGTGGGTACCTCGGTGACCTGACCTCAGTTGCCAGTGCAGCTTTGCTGGGAGTGGTGTGCTTTGTGCGAGTTGCCCTCTCTCACCGAAGCGTACCAGAGAGCGGAGGTGACCCTGGTGAGATCCCCCAGCCAGCTCAGCTCACCCCGGGTCCAGAGGGGCAGGACACCGGCGGCGGTGGGCGCACACCGCCTCGCCTTCCTAGCCCTGAGGAGCCGGTTCGGTAGGAGGCTGCCCAGGGCCGCGCGGGTGAGGGGGCTCGAGCCGCAGCGCGCTTCCCGCCGCCCGTCCAGTCCCGCAGCGCCCCGCGGTACCTCTTGGTGTAGAGCTCGAAGAGGCGGTGGGTGCCGTGGCACTCGTAGCTGCAGGCCAGACAGATTCCCGCCGGCTCCCCGCCGGGCGGCGTGCAGGTGCTGCAGGCGTACAGCGCCTGCCTCTTCACGGCTCCCTATGGGATGACACCGACGCGAGATACAGAGGCCACCGGGGGGTCCCCGTCCCAGACCCCGGGCGGCCCCGCCCCCGGCCCCGCCCCGCGCGACCCCGCCCCCACCTGAGAGTAGCTGCAGCGCTCGTGGTCGCTGCCCCCCAGCACGGCCCGCGCCTCCTTCTCGAGCTCCTCGTTCTCGGCCAGCACCTCCGCCAGGGAGACCACGGGCTCCTCCGCGCCGCCGCAGCCGCTCCCCGGCTCCGCGCCCTCCGGCGCCGCCGCTTCCATCGCCGGGACGCGAGGCCGAGGGCGAGATGAGGCGGGAAACACGCGGCCGAGGCACCAGGGGGCGCCACAGCGGAAGCGGAACCGCTGGCCTCACGTGACCATGGCTGCGCGTGATCAGAGAGAGCGGTGAGCCGCGGTCGCGCTGCCGCGCGCACGTGATCAGGGGGCGGCGCGATGGAGCTGGTGGCGGAGCTGAGGGGCCGTGACGGCGAGACGCGGTCGGTGCGGGTGCCGCTGCCTCGCCTGACGGAGCGGGGCGAGGCCGGGCAGCTGCGCGGGCTGCGGCAGAGCCTGGCCGAGCTGCGGGAGCGGGTGGTGGAGCTGTTGGCGCCCTTGGTGCAGGCCGAGAGAGAGGCGGCGGGTGGCGGCGGGCCGCGCGGTGAGTGGCGGTGGGGAGGGGACGGAAGCGCGGCGTGGAGGCTCCGCTGCCCGTGGGTCGCCGCCTGCGCCGCGCGCCGCTCATTCGCTCCTGGTTGAACCCCGTCAGGTGACGCCGAGGATGATGACGACGATGAACAGGAGGAAGATGAGGATGATGAAGGCGAAAACAGTATCGACACGAAAGCAAACGCCGACGACCCACCTCGGAAGCGTACGAGGGTTCAGCAGCCGTGGTGACGGCACTGGGTACTTGGGTCAGGCCTCTCTAGGAGACATTCTAGCTGCACCGGGTGTGAGGGTGTCCGGGCAGGGCCCGGCGAAGCCTGCGGCACTTCTGCTCCTGTTCGGAAAGCGAAATGTCGGTCCCGACGTTGTTTGCACACGGAGGCCGTAAGAAAAAGATGCACCTTGCTGTCAGCAGCGTGTTGCTTGCAGGGAGCCAGTGTTACATTGAGAAGAATTTTTGGTAGACCAGTTGACAAATACAAAACTGTTCTCACAAGTCTTCTGACTGCTACGTTTTTAACGACATTTTCTAAGTCATTGTATTTATTCATGCAACTTAAATTCTTATATAGTAAAATCAGGAGTGAGTTATTTTGTCAGACATGATCTTAAAATGGTACAGCAGAACTTTTAATTTGTATGGAAAGAAAGCAGTAGAAGACCACTATAGTATTCAGAATTAAAGAACACCTGTAAGACCGTGTCCATTCCTGAGCAGCCCTACAGTGGAAGATTATTTTTGCTTATCACCAAAAAAGTTTATTCTAGTCACCCATCAATGAAGTATTTTCCTGGTAAAGGTCATATATAAAATGGATTGAAAGAGCTGGGAATCTTGGTCTCAAAAAATCTTCAGTTTTTGTGACAGTCAGGCAAGTCAGTGTGACTTTGAAAGTTTCTAACATTCCACAATTCAAACCCAGCTGTCTGTCCTAAGCCTATTTTCTCAAAATATTGGGGTTTATTTTTCTTTTTATGCAGCAGTTATGTTTATGTATTTTCTTTCATCATTTATCCAAGCTGATTTTTAGGCTTGGTTCCTAAGTCAAATAAAGTGAACAACAGTTCAATGTTCTGCCCATGCAGAACTCTCATAATTATCTATGCTGTTTGCTGTAGTTTATTTTAGAGAGGGAGAAAGTATAAATATTCAAGTAACACCTATGAGTACATTATGTATAACTGCTCTTGCCTGTGTAAATCAGCATCTCCCAATCCCTCTGCTAAGGTAACTCATTCTTATGATGATAATGCAGCATGTGGAATATCACAGAATCTTAGGCTCATGGAGTAGCTCCTGCTCATCCATGCAAGTCTCCTTGATTTTTTCATCATGCGAGTACACTGGAATTGCGCCTGGAGGAAGTGGTGCTTAAATACTGATGAGATCTCTTTGACTCCCTTCTCTTCTAGGCCCATAGCATTCTACTGACTAGGTCTTGAAGAGCCTGTTAGCTCTCCAGAAATTTATGGTTGTAGTCCTGCTTGCCATTTTGCTTCCCCCACACAGGATCCTGAGTTCCACTATCTCGTGATCACTACAGCCAAGGCTGCCCCAACCTTTACACATTCAGCCCATCCTTCCTGGTTTGTAAGCACAAGGTCTAGCAACACACCCTTCCTTGTTGGCTCCTCCACCACTTTTAACAAAATGTTATCTTCAGTGATCTGTAGGAATTTCCTTGTCTCTGTGCACTAGGCTGTGTTATCCCTCCAACAAATATCTGGGGGGTTGAAGCCCCCCGATAATAGATGCTTCTTGCAAGGGGAAAGTTGTCAATGCTTCACATATGTTACTTTAATTCTCAGTTTGTTCAGTGCATGCTTCTGTGAACAGGCATAAAACATTCTAAATAGACACTCCGTAGAGCTTACTGGAGCCCAAGAAACTTCTCTAGCAGAAATATACTGACTGGTTTAATAGTATGAAAAGCTTTCTTTTTCTTCATATGTTCTGCTGGCAGTTTGTTTATATATTATAGAAACTGAGCAAGTCTTATGTATGGAGGACAAAGTACCGGAATAAATAATGACTTTTTATGAACACAAAATTGCCTGGGTTTCTTTGGAAGGGGCAGGGGTGTGCTGGAACTGAAGCATAGCAAACATATGCTTTACATCTTTACATATTCTTAAGTTCACACACCCATTATTCTGTCGGTAGATATGACAAAGCATAAATTAGGAGAAAAGACCAACTCTGAGGACTGTGGAGGTTTAGTTGCTGAGGACCTGGGATGAGAGAAAATTACATAAATTAATCCTCATCACTTGTCAGGCTGCAAAATCTTAAAGTGATAAAATGCTTAAAGTGTTTTAGGGTAGATAATTTATCAAAGGAAGTAACATTGAAGGAAGTGGCTTATCAAAATGGAAAGGCAACACAGTACAAAAAAAAAAAAAAGCCCAATAAATGTATCAAAAGAGCTCCTTCATGCATCCTGTACTTAAAGTGCAGACGTCTTCTATGAGCTCTGTTCTGAAGCTTTGGAAACTGCTTGTAGAGCTACATCTGGGAACAGTGTCTCATCCGCCTCCCAGCCACACTCCTGAACACTTCAACAGTAGTGTGAACTGTGGGAGGCTACAAAGCAACATGTAACATTAAGCATGAATTTGCAGTCTTTATATAGAAACTTTGTGTAAAAAGTCCACTGGCATATCAGGGACTGAAAACCTCTGGTCTAAAGCAACAAGCCCTAACTAATCAAGCTTAAAGTTATTTCACTACTTCTTTTAAAAGAAAACTACAGTGGAAGAACATTCAATAATTAGATCTTAGTCTTTCCTTTACTTTGTGGGCGAGACTCCACCTGCTCATATTCTGCTGGTGCCAAAAATGCTGGAAGCACCATCAGAGCTAGCTTTCCTCTTCTATTTTCCAGTATTCCTATGCACCAGGTTGACAGGTTATACTAAGTCTCTCCATTACTGCTTTACACCTCAAACTCAAATCCTTACAGACACAGCATTTGCTTGAATTAGACTGTCTTTCTGTAATTACTTGTAAAGCTCATGCTTGTCAGCAGCTTTAATCCAAAAACAGGCTTCTAATGGGAAAGTCTACAAACACAAGCCTCCGTTCTGTAAGCCACCCCTGCAGCCAGCACATGCTCCACATCCAGCCAGCTTGGCTCATCACATGAGGCACACTGATGAATTTACTAAAGGCCGTGTGCTTGCACAACAGAAACTTACGCACTTCTTCCTATCATCTTCTATTTTTGATGCTTCCTCTTACATTGTTCTTAAGACAACTGCTGAGTTTAAAACTTACAGCATCGAGTTAAAAACATAGTCCAGCCAGTGGTACCTCCTTGTCACACAAAGGTAGAAAAAAGACAAAAGGATTCAGTTTCATCCAGCCACCCCCACGCTAAAGACAAGTAATTAGGGCACAGAGCATAAAAAGGCAATGAAAAAAGATCAACTGAACATACATACTGAGGGAAGAACAGAAGAGTAAGCTACAGCAGCTGACTGCCAGCACTGCTATCTTGCAACAAACATAAACAACAACAAAAAATAAAGCCACTGATATCTATGGGCATTAACAGACTTCTGTTTATAAACATTGAAAAGTTTTTATTTTATAGATAAATAGGATGGTGATTTTTAAAGTTAGGAAACAACACAACTTAAAAGCTCTGACTCCCAAAGATACTGCAAGCCAGAGTTTATTCTTACTTCATCATATTAAGATGGCAGCTTCCTCCTTTTCATATTGCACTTAGAACTTAAAACCTTCTTGTAAAGGCTACATTGTTTTCAGGTCCTAGCACCAATGCTGGGGTTTGAAACCAGTGTCTCAAAATACCTCCAAATGCAAACAAAGTTTAAGGTGGTGTAACTGCCATGCTTAAACACAGCAACACTGAAAATAGTGTTCTCTTTCCAAAGTAAGAGAAGGCTGGTATTATCCTCCAGGGTTCCCTTAGTCAGAAATGGATTAGCACTTGTCATGATTAGGTACAGACAATCACACAGAATTGAAATTATAGTTGAGGAGTTTAGTTCATAATCGTTCTGTGCCTACTGCTTTTGAAGAGCATGTTTTCACTGTTTTCACATTTGGAAGCTTACTTCTATCACGGCTGGCTCAAAACTTTAGTTATTCTAAGAAGCAGCAAATAAGGACAAGAAGAACAGGTTCAAGACTGTTCAAAATACACAATCCAGTAGTTAGAATCAAATGCTATGCCGAAATAGCACTGAAAAATAGAGTTTAAAACTATGGTAAGAAATCTCAGTGAAACTTCAGTATGACTGAAGCAATCTGCATTCACTGCACGAATGAGAAGGTCTCATTTCTTCAAATTTCTGAAAGAAATATAATTGCCTGTCCTACAACCTGTTTGTAGCATCCTCACAAACTAAAACCAGCTAACCTTCCCAAATTCAGAGTTTTTCCTAGTACATCAGTGCTCCCAGAACAGTTTTCCACCATGTCTGGAGTGGAATTAGGATGGTAGTAAATTCCAATCACTTGCAATTTTATCAAAGGAGATTTCTATAGATAGGAGAAAGAAATACAAATGAAGCTTTGTGCAGACTATAGCAAGTATCAGCATAAGCTGCTTTTGACATCATAGGAAAAGAGATTAAAGCACCAAGCTCCAGGCCTATGCCAATCCTCACTGCCTACCTACTAAAACATGGCACTGTTGTGGTGACTGAAAAAAGTCTGCTACCACAGGAAAAACAAAAAAAGCACCTTTTTCCCTTCAAAGGTTTGCACAAACTTTATTCTTTGCTTCCTGTATTTATAGCTAAACTTATTAAAAAAAAAATCATTAAAAACCAGCACTGATGTAGGTATTACTTAAAAAAAAATAAAAAAAAAAATCAAAGAATTGTGATTGCGTTAAGTGCAGCTTTTATAATCATATTCTGATTTTGTTTCTTTTACATTTACCACAAAAGAAGTATCTTTTCATTGATTTTACTCCAAGGGAAAAATGACTTTTTTGCTAAGAGGAGTAAAGTCATAGACCAGAAACTTATTTCCCCACAGGATGTTTCAGATGGAGTGCTGCAATTTTGCATCATTAAGGCAAAACGAGGAATACTTCCATCAAGTGTCACATAGGGTGTCCCACTCTGGCCATCCCAATAGACCCATATTTAAAAACCTTTAATTTTTTTAAATAGAAAACAGTCACTCTCTTCATTGCTTAACAGTACGAAAGAAAAGGATCTTTCCAGCCTTCACTCAGAACTTCAGTCTTGCGATTAGATCAGGTATATGCAATTGCTTCAAAACAGCTACAGGAACTAGAAATTGAGCTAAGTGTCAATCAGTTGTAATCTACTGATTTGATTAGAGGCCTTCACAAATGTTTGATGGCGATTGCAAATAACAGCCAAGCAGATAGGAATGATGCAATACCCAACAGTTTTGGGGTCAGCTCTTGTACAGGAATAGAGGAACAGGAACATCTGTAAATATGGTATTAAAAATATTATAGTCCACAGCCAAAAAGGCAAGGATAGCAGTCGTACTTTTAAGGAGTGCATCCATGTGGTTCCTTCCTGTGGTTCCTTAGGGTGTTGCTGAATGTGCTCCAGTGCTAGTTTGTTGTAAGTCTCATTGATTTCAAAGACGTAATAAAAAGCTGCAGCACTTGCTAACAAGTACAACCCCACACCAATCCATCCCATCCTCTGGCGGAAGTTCATCATTCTCCATGCTCTGCACCTGGAACAAAAGGTGACAATCATTCAGTATAGGTTGGAGAAAGAGGGGATGCAGATGAGGCTTGGTTTTCCTAAGTTAACTTTTTACAACTTTTCATTATGTATTAATGAAACAGCACACGCATCCATTTCTGAAGACCCGAGTTCTTTCTACGTCAGAGAAAGTCATAGTGCTATGTGAGCAACAGACTAATAGTAATTACATATAATGCTCCATCTACGGCTCTGGCCACCATAGGGCCTGCTAGCTACAAATACACCAGGCTAAAGTCAAGCACTGAGTGAAAAAAAACAGAAGCCATGAATTGAGTAAGTTACTTACCCCATCTGACCTCAGTGCTTCTAGCTGCAGAGTGGTAATAATAAGACTTTCTATAAATACAGAAAGTTTGTAAAGTTCTTTGACATCTGCTAGACAAACATGCTGCTAGCCAGCCAGCAACAGGAGCATCACTGCTTGTTTGCAGTGTAGCAACATCCAGTTTTATTAAGCTCTAGCAGAGTGCCCACCTATGAACCACATAAAAGGATATTTTCTATTTGAATGTGTACTAAAGGTCTGTATTTGTACTCATCTGCACATATAAAGATACTGTAAGCATATTACTTGCACCTAACTGTACTTCTGCTCTGTGTGATCAGTTGCAGTAAGTATTCTGGAAGAAAGACGCTGAACACCTGTACTTGTAACTGACACCATGCAGAACAAACCAGACATGAGTCAAGAAGAAGCATAAATTATCAAAGCACCAGGGACACTACTGGGCTCAGTTTTAGGTGCTTTAAGATCTCTGGCTGGCTGTATGGGTCTAAGCAACTTGAAACACTCTTCAAAGCAGTTACAAACACATTAACTGAAGTGCCTCCACTCATATCAAGAAGTCATCACCACTTTCCCTAAAAATAGCCTTGGGCAGGGCAGGACAGGGTGAACAATTGCTTCACTGCAGCTGATGAGAGTTCTCCTAAGAAACATGCATTCAGACTGCTGGGGTTTTATTATTTTTTACAAGAGTTAAAATCAATTTATGCAGTACTATTTTAAGAAAATATATTAGGCTTTAAAAATACTAGGCAGAAATACTGATTCAATAATGTATTATGCATACAGAATAACAATTATGAATAGAAGTATGAAAGAGTTTACCATAATTAATTAAATAAAAATCACTGCACTTTTCTAAACCCCCTTTCCTAAGGCTAGACTGATCCATTTGGTTAGCAATCTTGAAAAGGCCTCCTGGTTTTCCACATCTGAAGGATATCCTCAACACTGACCTGGCAGAATCTGATTGGGGTAGCTCTGGAGCAGCTGTTCTGGGCCTCACACTGCTGTGTCTATAGTGGCCAAGAGAATCAAACATACAGTGACACTAAATAAACAAAATACATTACTGGCATCTGGGGCAGGTGTTACTTAGCTTTTCCTTCTATATAACAGAATACTTCTGTTTTATATCCTGAGTTAATATTTTAGTAGGACAACCGAAAAAATTGTGTAAGAAGCTGTTAACCCACTGGGTAAAAACTTTAGAGTCCATGTTTATCCAACGGCTAAATCACTGCCTGTTCTTTCCAGTAGCTGTGCATTTCGGAGACGGCTAACACGCAGCTGCCTTCAGAGAAAATAAGTCTTCAAAAGGAATGTAAGCATTGAAAGCACACTGTTAAAACTGCAGTAGATTCAACAAGGCAAACATTAGCTGTTTTTTTGTCCTGCCCTTGCTAGGAGCCAGAAGAGGAGCCTTAGCTCTACGTTACAGCGAAACAGTCAGAGACAACACTTAAAGAGTTTTCTTATTTATCGTTTCGAGACCCTGTTTTCACTCGTAGCTCCCGGAGACACCCGCAGTGGTTAGCGCAGCCGTCCGCCCACAGTCCGCATCTGCTCCCGGGCTCTTCTCCCTCAACAGGCGGCGCAAACCGGCAGCTGGCAACGCCCGCAGCTCTCAGCGCGCCGCCAGCGCTGGACCAGCGCCCCGTCGAGCTGCGCTCCGCCGCAGCGGCTCCTTCCCCAACACCAGCAGCCCCCTACCTTCCTCCAGCGGAGAAGAAGGGAGCGGGAGGGCGGCGGCAGGCGGCCCGCTCCCCTCAGCCCGTGCCGCCACACCGGGAGACGGAAGGCCCAGACGGACCACCGCACCACTGCCGTCCCGCTGCCATCGCCGCCCGGCCACCGCGCCGGAAGAGTCGCCCTTCCGGCATGGGGAGAAACACTTCCGGTGCGCGCCCGTCTGCATCCGAGCCGGGGAGGGGCGGGGCAGGCTGGCCAGCAGCCATCTTGGCTGGTGGCCGCGCCCGTTTGTGGCGTGTTGGCTTCGCCCAAAATGGTGGCCAGCGGTGGCTGAACGGTGCTGTGTTGCTGTTCGCCTTCGTTAATGACCCTTCGGTTATTGTCGTCGTTTCAGTCTTAGTGCTGCTTCATGTGGGGGTGGTGGAGAGACTAGGGTCAGGCAGCTCAGCCACGGTGCAGAACACCAGCCTCCAGTGTGCTGTGGTGGACAAGGCTATGCCACAGTGGCTTGGTGTATCACTCACCCTTTGCCACTTTGCCCGTTCGAGAGTGTTTTGATTGTGTGGCAGTCGATGAGAGGAGAAACTCAAAACAGTTGTTTTAAGTTGGCTGCATTAGCCAGGTGTGATGCATTGAGGAAAATACCAATGGAAACTAACAGTCTCTCAACAGCTGACATATATGTACCTAAAACCGGGTGTGTGTTTACACATAAGTGCACCTTACTGGCTTATTGAAGTAAATTATTTGAAAATAATGGTACTGGGAAAAGGCCTCAAGGATTGTCTAAATTGACAAAAACAACCTGATTTTGTCAGGTGCAGTTCAGTGACATGCACCACAGTGATGTTTGGTAAATTTGCTTGTGAAGAGGGTGTTAAACATTTCTCTAACATGTACCTCCTGTTCTAGTTAAAAGAATTTAGTAACTGTAGAGCATTGTATGTAAAATTAAACATTTTACGAAACTGTTGTATCTCAGGGTCATGAGAAAACTACTGTGATGCAAGAGTTAACCAGTGTACAGGGGGGTTAGGATTAAGCCGCTTGCTTAACAACGTTATTGCTTGCCCATACTCAACAAACATTTATCATGCTCATTATGCCGTGCTAGACCAGGATGGGAGGACAAGGCTACTGGTAAGAGGAAAGAACAGTACCTGGCTTCTGCTTTCTGGGCCCTGAAACCGGCTAAAACCAGCTTTCTGGTTTGGACAATGACCAAGTCACCAGGGAGCATGCGCAACGATTAAAGGTAAAAAGATTAAGCTGAAGAAGACTCATTTACTTCATCTTGAAACCGTCACACATGACCACCAGGGGTTACTACGCAAGCGCAGAGGACCTTTTAGCTCATTATAATACAAAGCAGGGATAGGACATGAATATGTATAGGCGTGTTATGTAACCTAATGAATATGTATAATTTTAGAGAATAAATGAGGGGAGAAACAAAGTTGCTGTGTACATGCCTTTGGAGGAGCTATCCTCCATGTGCCTCAGCTGAGTAAAGCATACCTGCTTTACAACTGTTTCCTCATACTGCTGCTGGGAGCTGCTGTAACATCTTTCTGAACTGCTCCACGAATTGAATCAAATACCATTTGGTTTGTCAAAACATGTTTTACTCTCCATTACTGTAGGGAATGACTGACTCGTTGGCAGCCAGGCCTGAATTCTGTCCTCTAAAGGTACAGAGAAGCAGTGGCAGCCACAGTTTACACATACACCTGTACTGAAAAGAAGGCTAACCATTTCAAGAGATACCAAATAAGAAATGAAAGATGCTATAGAAATGACATTTGGGGGGGTGGGGTAAGTATATACACATCATTGTGTATCACATATATACACATCTCCCATTTTTCTTGGGTGATGTAGTTAGTGCTCTTAAGGCACTATAGAAAAGCTGCTGCAAAATTAGATTGATGATGGCTTATCCTACTATGTTTGGTGTTTCAATGAAAAATGTAAGAAACTAGTGTTTTGGGTTATGTTCAGGACAAATAATGACTTACATGCACAGTGCTGCGTCATGGGGAAAAAAAACAAAACCCAACTCAAAACTGTTGAGAGCTCACATTCGGAAATAAGTTCCCTGGCACAGAGGAACTTCTCTTTAAGCGATACTGCTTTACTTTGTTTGTTTGGGGTTGGTTTGGTTTCACGCTCGTTCAACTAGAGGCTCAAAGAATTGTATCTCCTTTGCCACTGTGAGGACACTAGATGGTGCTCAACACCACAGGCAAAGCGAACCTTTCACAGGCCCGATTCCCAGTCCAGTTTTGCCCTTAAGTAAGGATTTCATCATCTTTTATGGAGTTTACATAAACTGGTAGTACAGTTCTGATGAAGGATGTAGGTGTGAATAACTACATACAGCTAATTACTTAAGGTCCGTTCCAGCCCTAATTATTTATGATTCTATGAATTATCCCTGGTACACTGCTCTCAACTAAATGCCATTCTTTCGCTTCTTACAGGTGATGAGATTGCAGATGATCTAAAAGTGAATATAGCTCCTGTATAGTTGGCAAGCCTTCTACTCAAGTATGGTTTTATTGCATTTTCTTATACTGGGGTTAGAGATAATGATGGGAAATGGAATAGCTACTGTAAAAAGTCTATTTAATTTAGAATACCAACCTTTGTGTCAAAGAGAAGGGTTTCAGTCAGAATTAATGTGTGGCTGTGTTAATAGTAGATGCACATACTAAATGTAAAGCTCACAGTTAAGATTCTGAAGAAAAAGGAGTGAAAAGTGGGGCTTCTTCCTACTTAACAAGTCTGTTCCCTGGAGAGCTGTAAAGGGATGATAGTTCAGGGTTTAACCTGCTTGGTTTGTGAGCCTTTTCTTCTGTGTTAACCATAGGCCTGAAATGACGGTTATGAAGAGAAAGAGAGAAAATATTTGTGGAGTTACTATAGCAAACGCAAACTGCCTTTGAAAGCTAAGGCATAAGACCAGAAAGGTTGATGTGTAATATGTTTGGGCTAGATCTCAGTTTGCATAAATTCAGTGTTATGTTTAACCTTTGGCACAGAATAAGAAGGGACACTGCAGATATCCCAGCTGAGGGATCCTGATAAAGTGCATAGGACAAATGGGGACTGATAATTGGAAACAGAAGGCTAGTTGTAATCTCTGCATGAAGCAAAGTTCTCATAACTTAGTATTAAAGGAGGGTCTTCTCTAGGCTTAGATTTTGGCCAGAATAGAAAGCAAAGGTAGAAAACCTGAGATAAGTACCGCCCCCCCCAATTAGTTTGGCTTACAAATGGAAGACAGGAGCCAAAGGACAAAATGCACCATGCATTCTTTAGGTAGATAAAGATTTAACGTAGTCATAGGTAGGTTCTCGGTATTGATAAGTAACTCAGAATCTAGTTACAGAAACGTTTCTCTCAAGATGGGATCAGCCTTCCGCTTTGTAGGACACTGATTTTTGATTCATCAAGAACACCACATTCCTGGATTTTTTCCTTCTTAATTCTACCTCTAAGACAAACTCTTGGCTGGAGATCTGGGGTCCCTACACAGTCCATATGTGTTGGGATTCCAAAGAGAAAACTGCCATAAAGGAGGAGAAGGGGCATAAGCTCATGTGCTGGTCCTATAAGGATCATACCTAACCTTAAGCCAAGAGGTTAGACTAGTTTCAGGGCAGGGCTAAGCTGCTGAAGAGTAAGGGATGAAGCACAGAGCTCGTTGAAAATGCTCACATGCTGGCTTATGGAGGGAGGGGACAACTGACAGAAAGGAAGACTTTCTTCAGACCCTAGTAGGCTCCAATCTTTTCCTTCTACTCAAAAGGTAGAGCACAGAAGAGCAAACTGAAGTACCACTGCTTTAATGGGAAGAAAAGAACACATGAAAACCCAAGCCTAACATGACATCTGCCCTTAGCTCCAGATGGGCAACACACTCCCCTGTGTGTTACAAGAAGAGTTAGTACTGTGTTTATAAAGAAATACAGAAGGGCAGAGTTCTGCGAATCGTAAGTAACACACCTGAAAAACTGTGGAGGCATATTGGGAAAAGGGAATGCCTTTAGGTGGTTTTTTCTTAGAATAGTGTTTATAGTGCTCATGTGAATTTTTATCAGTGAGTGAATGAATACCCAGTGTTTTTGCAGCTTGTAGTGATTTTGTTTATTAGATGTAGTTGCAGTGAGTTTACCAGTATCCTGTTGTGGTTGCTTTGATTGGTTTATTATATTATCCTTTGTTGTGAGTCAGAAACATTAGTTTACCTCAGCTTCAATTTCATATACTTTATGAATCCTTACTTTGTGTTTTATATCTTTTGTTTCTTCTCAAAGTAAGGCAATACTCTTCTGATTTTTTTTTTTTTTTTATTTCTTCTAATTTTGCATTGAAATAGTGGAGTGAGCTGTGTGTAATCCATGGTGATCTTTTCTTCCTTCGACTTGCTTCTTATACATTGAAATGTTGGGACCTTAAATTACCTTGATCTTTAATACTTTGTTCCTGAAATTCTACTCTAGCCATTGTTTCTTAGCAGCAGCCACATCTGAGTGAAGCTTCAGGCAGTCTTATTACCCAGGTTTTCTGAGTATCAGCCATACTTTGTTCTTAGTTCTAGAAATATTTACCATCTTTCCAACAAGCTTTTTGATATTTACAAATGGAATAGCTAGCTAAGTCTCCCAAACATCCACAGTAGACATCTGCCAAAGCTAGAATTACACACTATTATCCTTTGTCAGAGTGCTTCTAAAGAACTGGGTGTTTAATGAAGAAGGGATTTTAGACTGAACTTTTAGATTTCATTACAGTGGTACTCCTTGTTCATTTGCTACCACTGAATATAAGCTTCATGTCTACATTGTCTGCAGTCAAAATAATTCTGGGAGGGAGGAAAGAAATAAAATCTTCGGGTTTACCTTCTGTTTTCAGTCAATTACAAAGTGGCTTCAAAGTTTAGCAAGAACTGGGAAAAGATACTAAAAAAATACCAGCAGAGGTGATAGGTGACTGAATAATACTCTCCTTGGCATTTATTTAAAGAGAAGACAAATACAATTTATGCAAAAGCAATGCAGTATCGATCTCACAGGTCTGGCAATGGGACCCAGGATTGACTGATCTAGAAGGAAAGAGAACTATCCTGCAGAATTTTGGTCAAAGCAGTTTTCAGTTATAAACCGCATTTCATCAAAAGTGTTATTCATTAGAGTTTATGGATTTAAACTACATCTCCACAAATAGTGTATAACAAAAAATCACTTCCAAAGCTGCCATTTAACTTCTGAGAAACCTGCTTTTCCATGATTTCAGCTAAAGGCTACTCTTACTGCCAGAAGGGAACAGTTAGTGAATTCCATGCTGAGTTCACTGCTGCCGACACATTTGTTCATGTAAACAAGTTAACTGAAAAATCACCCATGTTAAAAAGATTCATATTTGGTCTGCAGGCTAAAAATGCTGTCTTTGCTCAGCTGGCCTGAAAGGGTTGCTTTTCAAAAACCATCAGCAGAAAAATACATTGAAAAAAATCCTCGCTGACGGTCACTTGCTAGAGTTAATTTCTATTAATCTATCTTTCCTACTGTGGTGCCTTTGTGAAACAAGTCAGTATTACCATAGAATGACTTTAAAGAGATTTAGTTATAGTCTCTTCTGAGATGCCCAGTTCCCAGGCTGTGCCTGTCTTGTTTAGACTGTGAACTGTGTGCAGCAGGGAATATCTATATTTAGACTTTCCTGAAGCATAACTTTCTTTTACTAAGCAAACACAGAAAGAACACACTTCAGATTCGGCCTTTTCCCACATTCAAAAGGATCCCAGCTTTTCTGCACAGATCATGATGGAAGTTTGGGGTTGGTAGAATATTGTCTGAGATTTGCTGACTCTAAGCTTTCATTAAAAAAAAAAAACCAACAAAAAAACAGTGCTTGTGTATGTGTGTGTCTGACTTCTTTTAGGAACCTCTTCTCTGTGTCCTGTTAGAGAGTAGGAATTAGCACACAGTTACTAACTTCTAAAATGTACTGCAAGAGGCATACATGTAAGACATCCATCCAACCAATGTGAGGTTCTTAGTCACAGAAATGTTCGTGTATGTTCTAACTTGTACTTTCCTACAGAAACTCCCACATTCCTGCAGAAGCATCAATCATTTCCTTTACTATCATGTAAATTCATTCTGTTCTTAAAACCTTTATTGTTTCTCATTCCATAGAATACTTCAATCACCTTATATTTAGCCACTTCAGAATATTTTATTGCTTGAACATTTTGCACACCAGTTTGTCTTAGCATCTTACGTGGTTTTATTTTCAGAACTGTTCTACATACTCTTTGTTTATTCTTAGACCCCATAATTTGGGTTTTGCATGGAAATAATGGAAATGATTGTGTTGGGCACTTGAGAGTGACTGGGGCCTCAGAATGTCACAGTCAGGCTTACTTATTGATGGTATTTATTTAGTCTAACCAAAACTGGTAGGTTATGCACTTCTAGTAATAAACTCCATGGTTTTAGTTGCCTGTTGAGCTGCATGTCTGATACAGCAGGTATCCCTTACAGTTCTCTTGGTTTATGGGCACTTTAGTAATCCTTCATAGTTCCTACAGGAAGAAAATCTAAGCCTGGATGAATAACAGATTTGTCTGAGGCAATGGAAAATCATTGTCAGAGGTAGCCTGAATGACAGAAGTGCCTGATGGTTAATCCTAGTGTCAGACCTGGAGAGCACCTCGTTACTCACTCAAGTGCACTCTCAGAGCTGTCCGCTCAACTGGAAAGCCAGCATCTGGGGAGGGGGGGCCTTTCATATAAAGTCCATCAACAGGAAGTAAATTATCCTCTTCTGTATGGAGGGCTGCTGTTGCTACAGGCTTTAGTGGAAGATAAAATCCGGTTCATTGTGGTTGTGAAGCTTTTGAGTACTCACCTAGACCTTTAACTGAATTTGACTTTTTCTGAAGCCCAAGCTGGAGGTCTGTACCAGAAATCAGCATAGAGACCCAGAATGACTCAGGCATGTGAATGGAAATGTTAACAGCACTTGATGGTTACTCTCAAATTGAGAATTTAATTAAGTTATTGCAGAGTACTTGCATTTCATTGAACAAAAGCACATTAAGCAGCATTTGCAAATCTTTAAACCAAAAGGTATTACATGTTAGTTCCTTACTGTGCAGTTCATAAGCTTCTGCTCTTATGACACCTGTATGAAGTGAAATTTCAGGCAGTAATGCCTACATCATTCTCTATCATAAAGCACCAGGTGAATATTTAAATATCTCTATCATAGCACATTTACTACCCCATTTGTTGGCATTCTTACACACAGTATGTCTGCTTTTCCACACAAATGTATGTTCTCTTTGCCTTTCACCAACAGAATGTAAATATACACATGGTAATATTATGATAATGGCAATACTTAGAAGGTAAAGAAATATGCTGGTGTGAGACTATAACAAGTTTAAGTGCACCCAAACCAACACCTTCTCCACATAAAAAGTATCTAGCCTCAATTAGCATCTCGTTGAATGTGTCTCATTTCACTAAACAGTG